GTTGCAGAGATTGGTGGATGAATTTGGTAGGGTGTGCAAAAGAAGAAAATTAAAAGTGAATACAGGAAAGAGTAAGGTTATGAGGATAACAAAAATATTAGGTGATGAAAGATTGGATATCAGATTGGAGGGAGAGAGTATGGAGGAGGTGAATGTATTCAGATATTTGGAAGTGGACGTGTCAGCGGATGGGTCTATGAAGGATGAGGTGAATCATAGAATTGATGAGGGGAAAAGGGTGAGTGGTGCACTTAGGAGTCTGTGGAGACAAAGAACTTTGTCCTTGGAGGCAGAGGGGAATGTATGAGAGTATAGTTTTACCAACACTCTTATATGGGTGTGAAGCATGGGTGATGAATGTTGCAGCGAGGAGAAGGCTGGAGGCAGTGGAGATGTCATGTCTGAGGGCAATGTTGTGTGAATATAATGCAGAGAATTCGTAGTTTGGAAGTTAGGAGGAGGTGCGGGATTACCAAAACTGTTGTCCAGAGGGCTGAGGAAGGGTTGTTGAGGTGGTTCGGACATGTAGAGAGAATGGAGCGAAACAGAATGACTTCAAGAGTATATCAGTCTGTAGTGGAAGGAAGGCGGGGTAGGGGTCGGCCTAGGAAAGGTTGGAGGTAGGGGGTAAAGGAGGTTTTGTGTGCGAGAGGCTTGGACTTCCAGCAGGCGTGCGTGAGCGTGTTTGATAGGAGTGAATGGAGACGAATGGTTTTTAATACTTGACGTGCTGTTGGAGTGTGAGCAAAGTAACATTTATGAAGGGATTCAGGGAAACCGGCAGGCCGGACTTGAGCCCTGGAGATGGGAAGTACAGTGCCTGCACTCTGAAGGAGGGGTGTTAATGTTGCAGTTTAAAAACTGTAGTGTAAAGCACCCTTCTGGCAAGACAGTGATGGAGTGAATGATGGTGAAAGTTTTTCTTTTTCGGGCCACCCTGCCTTGGTGGGAATCGGCCAGTGTGATAAAAAAAAAATTATTATGTTTCATCCTGACCACAGTTCATGGAGACGCGTATTTATCTGATTAATACACCAATTGTGCACCAACTGACCATCCCATAATCAACTAATTACACACACACGAGTAAGTGCTTAACATCGGTTAGTGCAGAACCGAAAGAATCAATCAGTGGTCTAATGTGTTAATACATTGTGTGTGTGTGTGTGTGTGTGTGTGTGTGTGTGTGTGTGTGTGTGTGGTGTAACCGGCCGTAGCCCACCCAGGCAGGGCGATCTAAAAAGGAAAACGAAAGTTTCTTTTTTTTTTTTAAATTTACTAATGTATGTATACCGGAGACGGGGTTACTAGCCCCTTGCTCTCGGCATTTTAGTCGCCTCCTACGACACGCATGGCTTACGGAGGAAAAATTCTGTTCCACTTCCCCATGGACTAATGTATATACTCACATCATGTCTGTATTCAGGCACGAGAACTGGTGGTTGACTTTATAATACGTTAGAGCGAGGTCTGTTGTAAATGTGTCAGTCTGCAGCCTCGGGACTTTAACTTCTGAAGTGTAAATCCACACATCACCGCCACGAAAATTTCTACTGAAGAATTGTTTACTTTTTGCATCATATTCTAAATGAGGTGTATTAAAAGTTAAGACAAACTACCTTGCAAGGATTTTGAAAGGGATGACATTCTAGAAGTATGAAAAGTAGCAGTACTGAACACATGATGATGTTCTGGTAGACACACGAAAACTCCACTTTAAACACCATAATAGATCACCGAATTAACGGAGAAATTCGACAACTATCTAGATAAACTGCCATAAAAATAATTTAATCTATTGTTATTACACTGTTCATTGTTTCAACATTCCCCAAAACCACTGGATAATCTGGTGTTAGTTAACCTCTGGAATGCAGAGATTGATACCGTACAGCTCACCCTGAAGCAGTAACGCGATTTTCTGACAGGTGAGCTCACCCTGAAGCATTAATGCAACTTTCTGACAGGTGAGGAGCTCACCCTGAAGCAGTAACGCAACTTTCTGACAGGTGAGGAGCTCACCCCTGGTGCAATATACATGCACCACCCCTCGTCTCACATTCCCTCTGGTGAGGGGCTGAACTAGTAACAAAAACCATCATAGTTGTTTTTCTTATTACTTCCCATAAAAGTTTGAGATATCCTTTTAAAACACAAAAGCATATAAAAACACTGGCGCCAGCAAACACACACACACAAACCAAACATACATGAGTCCTCTTAAATAAGTTTAAAATCTATTTCGTGCCATCTTTCCAGTGATTATAACAACATTTATTAGATGCAAAACAACTACGGGGGGAGTTGAATGATAGCTCTAGGCCTTTCGTGTTGCAATCGACAAATCATCAGGAGCTTGCACTGTCTGTTGCTTGAACTTATTAAAGTCATAGGGGAGCGCTAAATCCGTCATACTAGCCAACCCCTTCGCCATTCGCCATCACATTAGTGGCTATAAAACAACTGTCAGGGATACCGAATGTTCTGGTGTGTTATGCTAGGTATACTGACCTACAGCGTCTTGGTATACTGACCTACAGTGTCTTGGTATACTGACCTACAGTGTCTTGGTATACTAACCTACAGTGTCCTGGTATACTGGCCTACAGTGTCCTGGTATACTGACCTACAGTGTCTTGGTATACTGACCTACAGTGTCCTGATATACTGACCTACAGTGCCCTGGTATACTGACCTACAGTGTCTTGGTATACTGCCCTACAGCGTCTTGGTATACTGACCTACAGTGTCTTGGTATACTGACCTACAGTGTCTTGGTATACTGACCTACAGTGTCTTGGCATACTAACCTAGTGTCCTGGTATACTGACCTACAGTGTCTTGGCATACTGACCTACAGTGTCCTGATATACTGACCTCAGTGTCTTGGCATACTGACCTACAGTGTCCTGGTATACTGACCTACAGTGTCTTGGTATACTGACCTACAGTGTCCTGGTATACTGAGCTACAGTGTCCTGGTATACTGAGCTACAGTGCCCTGGTATACTGACCTACAGTGTCCTGGTATACTGAGCTACAGTGTCCTGGTATACTGAGCTACAGTGTCCTGGTATACTGAGCTACAGTGTCCTGGTATACTGAGCTACAGTGTCCTGGTATACTGAGCTACAGTGTCCTGGTATGACCTACAGTGTCCTGGTATACTGAGCTACAGTGTCCTGGTATACTGAGCTACAGTGTCCTGGTATGACCTACAGTGTCCTGGTATACTGAGCTACAGTGTCCTGGTATACTGAGCTACAGTGTCCTGGTATACTGAGCTACAGTGTCCTGGTATACTGAGCTACAGTGTCCTGGTATACTGACCTACAGTGTCCTGGTATACTGACCTACAGTGTCCTGGTATACTGACCTACAGTGTCCTGGTATACTGACCTACAGTGTCCTGGTATACTGAGCTACAGTGTCCTGGTATACTGAGCTACAGTGTCCTGGTATACTGAGCTACAGTGTCCTGGTATACTGAGCTACAGTGTCCTGGTATACTGAGCTACAGTGTCCTGGTATGACCTACAGTGTCCTGGTATACTGAGCTACAGTGTCCTGGTATACTGAGCTACAGTGTCCTGGTATGACCTACAGTGTCCTGGTATACTGAGCTACAGTGTCCTGGTATACTGAGCTACAGTGTCCTGGTATACTGAGCTACAGTGTCCTGGTATACTGAGCTACAGTGTCCTGGTATACTGACCTACAGTGTCCTGGTATACTGACCTACAGTGTCCTGGTATACTGACCTACAGTGTCCCTGGTATACTGAGCTACAGTGTCCTGGTATACTGAGCTACAGTGTCCTGGTATACTGAGCTACAGTGTCCTGGTATACTGACCTAGTTATGACCACCAGGTGGTGTCACCAGGTACAAACAATATAATTATAAAACAAAATACAGAAGCAACAAGCTTATACAAGAACACCAGTCGGCAGGTGTATGACAGAAAGAGAGGGAAAAATGTACCTAATTCTACCTCTGAGGAACTGTGAGAGGAGTGAAGCACTGGAGAAGAGCAGTAGTACCTGAGGAAGGGAATCAGGAGCCAGGCCAGGCACGGGTGCCAGCGTTCCCCTCACCTGATGACCAGTATTGAGTTGCCATAATCAAGTGAGCAGGTGAACCAAGGGAGGGAAACACACACTTCACCAATTTTTATATTATTTCTTTAAATTTGTTTGGATTTATATATTAGGGTAGAAAGTAGTCACCTATAAGTACTAATAAGTGACTGCAAGAGTTGAGTCTTTGCTCCCGGTCACGCCTCTCAACCTGCCGCTTGTCTCACTCTCTCCTAGCCTCGTGGGCCCTTATCGTACCTATCCCTAAAACTATGTATGGGGTCTGCCTCCAGCACTTGGCTGTACGTCTCTCTGTAGTTTCTTTTGTCTTACCTTTCAATTATTTACATTCTTGCAATAAGATCACAGTAAACAGGTGATATCACAATATGCAAAACAACCACTGTGAAAAATAATAAACTTCCAAGAACTTTCATAGTATCAAGAAACCCATAATTTACATTCTTGTTGACAATACACAGGTTATTATTCTATATGGTTTGTTATTTGCTAGTTTAACAGTCATCAGTAAGCGCACAGTTACTGGCATGTCTGAGTCACACCTGTTAGATACCTTAACTCAAGCCAAGAAGTGTTATATTCACATCGGAACATACAACACTATATTAGTGCATCACATTCAAGGCACCGGAAAGGAAGCGTGTATTAAATAATTATAATTCATGAAAATGATACTTTTCACAAGTAACCTTCAAACTGGAAATGGAAAACAGATGACGTTCCGGTCAGTCCTGGACCAGTATTAAGTCCAGGACTGACAGACGTCATCTACTTTCTATATTCAATTTGTGGATTAGTTGTAAATTGTCTTGGTCACGATACAGTGACTTCAAGAAGAAAATGTTATAGTATATATGTCACCGCCACCATCAACACTCCCCAGAGATGCGTCTTAGCTTACCTTGTCGTCAATGCTCCTGTGAACGTGAGGGCGGCCTCCCATTGCCGCACAGCGACATACGCCATGTTGGAAGGCCACTTCCCCGCCTGTCGACTTGCTGTCTTTTGTAGCGGCAGATTTGGACTGCCTGCCGCTGTCCCGTCGCCCAATATCACTTGCGACCTTCTTCATTCCCTGGTTCTTATCCAGTCTGTCGTACTTCTCCAGCTTGTCCTTGAGGTGGTTTTTATAAGAGGCATCAGTGAAGCTTTTGGTTATGGAGCCTCGAGGCGGCTTGTCGTAGTGGTTCAGTTTGTCTGAGGCGAACTTGTCCGTAATCAGTCTCTCGGCTGGCAACTTGCTGGCGGGGATGTGGTCAACTTCATACTGCGCACGGTCGTAGATCTTGTCCACCGCCTCATTAACCATTTGTTTCTTGTCTAAGCGAGAGCCGCCTGCCTGATTCACTTGGATCTTCTCGTACTGAGGTGGTTTGTCGACTTTGTTTCGGCTGCTGCTGCGTGGGGACACACTAGAATAACGTTCCAGCTGGGTCCTGTCGGTGCCTTCGTCTTCCATGACACAACCCTTGCTTTACACGGTACACTCGTTTTAAGTCTTAAAATGAGTTTCTCAGGTCCAAAGGTCCACCGACAGCACAAGGATCACCTTCACTTCTAAACACTTTGCACCATTGAAAAGCATCAGTTCCAAGACCACTGTGAAACAGTTAAGAACATGCGTGCGTGTCTCTACTGTCAAAATACCTTAAAGATCAAAAGCAAAAGAAAAAAAATATTAACAATGAGGAATGACTAAGTATAATCTAACCTTAATGTAAATAAACAGAATCGAGATATTGAGTGAAGTCAGATTGAGTTGCCTTGCAGACATCGAGAGTAAAAGGCAGCTACTGTCATACTATTGCACTCTTGAGCTAAATCCAATGATTGCCACTGGTAATTAATTAGGGGACTGGATCATTATTGCTAATTACAGCAATTCGAATCGCATTAACCCAGAGTTAATTATAACATTTCCTTCTCAATTATTGCCTTTCTTGATTTATTATATTTCCTCATAACACTTATCTACTCTCCATTCTTATTTCTTGATTTTCTGCCTCTTCTTTTTCGTTGAATCTACCTAATAATATCGATTTCATTTAATATAAATATTTGTTAATGATGATATTTAGACGATGTCATGTGTGTTGTAATATTTAAGATGTCAATAATCGCTGCTCGCTGACCCGTGTTAGGTATTATCCTGTATGGTATAAATAAACTTTGGTAACAGATGCGACACTGATTTAGAAAGACACGCGAGCAAACACTAGGACATAATTATTAGAAACGTGTCTTGTATCTATTTCCAGCACCGCCAGACACCTCCACTAGCAGTTACCACCGCCACACTGCACTACCACTGTCACACTACACCACCTTACATTAAACCCACCTTCTTGGTATACACCACTGTGTTAAGTTCCTTGTGATATCACCGCCCCTCAATACCTCTCCTTGTTAGGTAGCTAACTACCCCTCAGGACATAATCCCTGTGTCGCTACACTGCTACACTCTGCTATAAACGTCTCTTTCTTGCTATGAGAAATGTATGCACTTAGAGGCGTACGTCACTGGTGATGAACAGGTTACATGCAGCCTTAATGACTCGTGTAGTCGATAGACATTAAACCTAATTAACCAAACAACCCTGCTACAGTATTCCCTACACGTCCCTGCCCTAGTACACAGCGCTGCACACGCTCCTTCCCTGGAACACAGTGCCACACACACGAATGAACGAGACGTACGAACCACAGCCAGGCTGTGGTTCGTACGTCGGGTTGCGTGCGGCCAACAGTAACAGCCTAGTTGATCAGCCGCTGATTCACCATAAGGCCTGGTCACAGACCGGGCCGCGGGGGCGTTGACCCCCGGAACCCTCTCCAGGTATACTCCAGGTAATACTGCCAGACTTCCCCAACGTTACCTCCTGATACCTCCATTAAACTACCTCAAGCTCTCCCCTACTACAATACTTCCAACTCCCCCCCACTACACTACCTCCAGCTCCCCCCCACTACACTACCTCCAGCTCCCCCCCACTACACTACCTCCAACTCCCCCCCACTACACTACCTCCAGCTCCCCCCCACTACACTACCTCCAGCTCCCCCCACTACACTACCTCCAGCTCCCCCCACTACACTACCTCCAGCTCCCCCCCACTACACTACCTCCAGCTCCCCCCACTACACTACCTCCAGCTCTCCCCCACTACACTACCTCCAGATCCCTCTCCACTACACTTCCTCCAGCAGCATCTAACGTGTCTTGTCGTGTCTTGTCAAATTATGCGACACGGAGCAGACGCTGCTAATGACAGTGACCACACCTTGATGCTAGGAGACGTCACAGTGGCCACACCATGATGCTAGGAGACGTCACAGTGACCACACCATGATGCTAGGAGACGTCACAGTGACCACATCATGATGCTATGACATGTCATTATGACCACATTATGGTGCCAGACGTCACAGTGGCCACACCATGATGCTAGACGTCACAGTGACCACACCATGATGCTAGACGTCACAGTGACCACGCCATGATGTTAGGAGACGTCAAAGTGACCACACCATGATGCTAGGAGGCGTCACAGTGACCACACCATGATGCTAGATGTTAGTGACCACACCAAGATGCTAGACGTAAGTGACCACACCATGATGCTAGGAGACGTCAGAGTGACCACACCATGATGCTAGGAGACACCACAGTGGCCACACCATGCTAGAAGGCTACAGTGGCCACATCATGAAGCAAGAAAAAGCCACGGTAACCATACCATGATTAACAGCTACAGTGGCCATTAGTTTACCCCAATAGGAAAGGGAAGGTCAGAAAATGGGGAGAAAAATATTGAGGCGAGGGGACGGGCTGTAGGATGATGCGAGAATTATAATAATAATAATAATAACAATAATAATAATAATAATAATAATAATAATAATCCATAGGGAGTGGAAAAGAATCCTTCCTCCATAAGCCATGCGTGTCGTAAGAAGCGACTAAAATGCCGGTAACAAGGGGATAGTAATCCCTTATCCTGTATAAATTATTAAATATAACAAGAAAAAATTTAGTTTTTTCTTTTTAGGTCGTCTTTAAAATAATAATAATAATAATAATAATAATAATAATACTGTCAACAACGTAAGGAGTGTCACTTTTTCTTCAGTGTCGTACACCAGACTAACACACTTTACAAGAACTGAAATTCCGGGTTATCTTTAGTTTCAAGTAAATCTGAGCATTACCCGCAGTCTTGCCAGTCACCGTGGAGCTATGAAGGCTGCACTTGTCATCTCGTAAAACGTTACATGAACCACAAAATAGCATATTATGTCTGAACACTAAAGCTGTTATTCCATTTTTTTTGTCAGAATGATGCAAAGCCATTATAGAGGTGCCGTGGGGCCCAGGAGCTCTAGGCATTAGGGCTTTAAGTATCAGGGTTCCAAGCATCAGGGCTCCAGGAATCAGAGCTCTAGGCAACAGAGCTCCAGGCATCAGGGCTCCAGGAATTAAGGCTCTAGGCAACAGAGCTCCAGGCATCAGGGTTCCAGGCATTAGGGCTCCAGGAGTCAAGGCTCCAGGCATCAGGGTTCCAGGAGTCGGCTCCAAACATCAGGGTTCCAGGAGTCAGGGCTCCAGGCATCAGGGTTCCAAGAGTCAGGGCTCCAGGCATCAGGGTTCCAGGAGTCAGGGCTCCATGCATCAGGGTTCCGGGAGTCAGGGCTCCAGGCATCAAGGTTCCAGGAGTCAGGGCTCCCGGCATCAGGGTTTCAGGAGTCAGGGCTCCAGGCATCACGGTTCCAGGAGTCAGGGCTCCAGGAATCAAGGCTCTAGGCAACAGAGCTCCAGGCATCAGGGTTCCAGGCATCAGGGCTCCAGGAGTCAAGGCTCCAGGCATCAGGGTTCCAGGAGTCAGGGCTCCAGACATCAGGGTTCCAGGAGTCAGGACTCCAGGCATCAGGGTTCCAGGAGTCAGAGCTCCAGGCATCAGGGTTCCAGGAATCAGGACTCGCCACTGGCCAAACACTCCATGATAAACACTGAACCTTCACACTCCAACCATTAGGTTTTCCATGACACGCTTAATATTTCCCAGAGGTTTATACGGGCAATTTTTAAAACATTAAAATCTCGTTTGCAGCGCACGCTTCACCAGAGCAGCGCTAAACTGCGCTTCAAGAAATCTTCATGGAGGGTTGTGTAGCGAGTGAAGTGGAGAGAGAGAGAGAGAGAGAGAGAGAGAGAGAGAGAGAGAGAGTGTGTACCAGAAGCTTTATATAATGATCCAATATCTCCAGTTGCTAGTTTGATTACAGAACACGTAAGTTTCTATTATAATTATTATTATTATTATTATTATTCAAATTTAAGAAGCATATTTCTCTGATTACTACCAGTCCACCAGCTGTCCATCACACATGTCGACAACCCACAACATGTTCCACATGTTTTCACCTACCTGTGCACACCCACACAAGGACTCCCAAGTGATTATCCACCCATCTGCTCACCCACACGAGGGACAAAATATATAAGCTATACACAGACATAGTTACCGACTAGCAGAACACTAGCAGTGTACTAGCAGTAGTTTTATCTTACTACAGCGTCTTCTCCATACCTCTCTCTCTCTCTCTCTCTTTCTTAAAAACGGGTTACACATTGCAGTGTTTGCGCTACCTCACGGACTACAGATGGCTGACAGCTGTTACTTCATCACAGCTTGAGGGAGTATGTCGCGAGCCAGTGGCAAGGTTACTGTTGCTGTTGCTGTCTCACCCTAGTAACCCACTGCCGTAGGCACCACCTCCAGCACACCTGTCCTCGCCACCCTAACACGCTGATAACTCACTGGTCAGTCCTCTGACACCTTCACAATAACTAATTAATTAGTGACTGGTAAATAAAGACTAGTGTTGGGGCTAGATGGAATGGAAGGGGGAGCGGCAAGCGAGACGGGAAAGAGGAGGGAGAGACGGAGAAGAGTGAGAAAGGGAAGGGTGGGATAGGGCTGGGGAGCGAGGCACTCACATGCTGTATCTCGTGGTGGCCCCACATGCAAACAAAGCTGTGGTTCCTGGTCACACTAGACAAGAGTGTGTCAGACAGCAGTAGCTGTGGTTCCTGGTCGCACTAGACAAGAGTGTGTCAGACAGCAGTAGCTGTGGTTCCTGGTCGCACTAGACAAGAGTGTCAGACAGACAGCAGTAGCTGTGGTTCCTGGTCGCACTAGACAAGAGTGTCAGACAGACAGCAGTAGCTGTGGTTCCTGGTCAAACTAGACAAGTGTGTGTCAGACAGCAGTAGCTGTGGTTCCTGGTCGCACTAGACAAGAGTGTGTCAGACAGACAGCAGTAGCTGTGGTTCCTGGTCACACTAGACAAGAGTGTGTCAGACAGCAGTAGCTGTGGTTCCTGGTCACACTAGACAAGCGTGTGTCAGACAGTAGTAGATGTGGTTCCTGGTCACACTAGACAAGAGTGTCAGACAGCAGTAGCTGTGGTTCCTGGTCACACTAGACAAGTGTGTGTCAGACAGACAGTAGTAGATGTTCCTGGTCACACTAGACAAGTGTGTGCCAGACAGCAGAAGCTGTGGTTCCTGGTCAAACAAGACAAGTGTGTGTCAGACAGCAGTAGCTGTGGTTCCTAGTCACACTAGACAAGTGTGTGCTAGACAG